TTTTTGGGCAGCTATTAGCTTAGTTTCTGAAACATCCCAAGCACATTAGCAGCTCAGCTAATTAGAAGTTCCCAAAATATTTTTAATATGTTTTTTTTTTCAATTATAAAATGAGTTGACACAGGTAACAGCAGGTGACAGTTTCCCCTTGAGGCATCTTCGTTCCTGCTCAGTCTCTTGCAGAGGTGAAACGAGTCATCCGCTACCAGAAGAGAACAACCCCTTGACCTCCAGCAAGGCCAGCAGTAAATAGGGCTGCTCAGCTTTCTGTTCGTGCGCTCCATGCATCACAAGTGCCTTGAAAATCCATGAGGAACTCCTGATCTCCTCTTGTAGCCCTGCACATAGCAGGGTGCCACCTCCAGCCATTTTTAGCCTCCTTTCCTAAGGGGCATCCACGGTCTTACTGCTTGCAAGCGTGTCTCTCCGAGAGAAATAGCTTCAGCCAGGTGGCCAGTTGCCCCCAAGTTTATCAGAGAGGTGAAGGTCCGCCTCCTTAAATATGGTCTCCCTGCTGGAAAGGGCAGCATGCTGAGCTCACGTTAAGCCCAGACCATGCACGTGGAAGACAGATGAAGCATTTTAACCCATAAAATGCTGCAAAACCTGCACCATGTTAGATAACGCCCCTTCTTTCACAGACTTATTTCCTTGGGCACCTTTACCGCACGGTTATTTAGTGTGACCAGCCAGGTCTCATTACAGACATGTGAACAGTAGGATTACCTGTCTCTTATTCAAGCAAGGAGCAGTCAGCGCTATAGGGAAACCTTTCTCGTGTTTCACACTTGTATTCCTTCTGTAATTTAATCCAGCTATGATTAAAATATTTACTATATTGAGCATTTCCCCACCTTGATCTTTAACACACTCTAACCCTCGCTTTAAGTCATCATCAGGGACCCATTAAGCTTGTTCAGTGTTTCCAAGATAGTCTCTGGAGTGTATCAGCAAGGTTAATAATTGATACGGAAAGGCTGGCATTTCCAAAGCCTGAAGCACATCACAAGAGGCTCCGTTTGGGGGCTACGATGTGAGGCTATAACATTACCACAAGCACAGAAAGGGAGGAAAGGCAAAGAGCAGGGCGCTTGGAGAAAGTGCTTCCTTCAAAACCAGCCCTTTGCGATTCACTGCTTGCCCACTGCTCCTACAAAAGCCTTAATGCAAGCAAGAGCTTGCAAGTTGAACAGAACAGGTACAGCGAGTACTTCCGCGAGGGGCTGGAGCAGGCTCAGGCACATTCGTGCATCTGTCATAGCCAGTAGACTGCTTAAAGCTGGAGGAATCTCTCAGCTAAACAGCACAGGTGAGAAGGAGGACAAGGAGATGAGGTCCCATGTACGACAGCGGATGACCAAAGCTGAAGCAGGACAGGAAAAACAAAAAAAAACAAACAAACAAAAAAAAGGAGTCACCTAATATACCTGTCAACAAGCAGTTTAAAGCCATAATAGCATAAACTAAGCCTGTCCACACAGTTGAGAAGATCCCCTTAGACACTGGCTTTCTGCTGTACCATGGCATGTTAAGCACACCTGGGAAGAGATTTGCTAGAGAGCACTCCCATTTATAGGTCATAAGTATAATTTACTATGACCACTGGAGTATTTTGAACTCACTCTTACATTGTACTGTGGTTTGGTATGTTTATTTGCAAAACAAATAGGTTTTTTTAAAAATAGAAGGACCTCAGCCCATTTCTGAGGCCTTGCCTGTGCTGGACCTGACACAGGTTCACTACAGCTCAGCACCCTGCAGGGTCGAGGCCGCAGATGGACTCCAACCAGCTAGCTCATTTATAGCAAGCCTGGCAAATCCAAAATAGCTATCCCCAAAGCACGGCACACTATATATACATGCACACAAGTGGTTCATTCCTTTGAAGCTGGCAGCACAGAGACTAGCTGTCTGTCCTGCAGCTGGTCTAGAAGCCCAAATCCCTGGGGCAAGGCCAGAGGGAAAGCCACATTTCTACCACTGTTAATTCTGGCTCCTGCACGGCCATCACCAGCTGCCTCACCCTAACCATAGCCTCCCTTCTCTCCAGTTAGCCAGAGCTGGCATTGCAGCAGCAACAGGCTCTCCAGAAACCTGACATTGCAAAGGCAGCCCCTCAGACCTATATTTAGTAGCCCGAACAAGCAGAGGGTTTACACCAGGTCAGCAGCAACCACAGGGCGCTCAGCACAGCCCAGGCCCCTAAACCCGAGGGCTGCGCTACTCAACCACGGAGTAAGACAACATTGGGATTCAGATGTTTTCAAACCCCCCGTCCTTCTCAAAAGCCTGCTGTGCATAGACACATAGTGCACACACAGAGCTCTCTGAAGAAAGCCAACAAGGATCTGCAGGTCATCATATCCGTCCAACTCACACTGCTACATCTACATTACTGCAATTTCAGTCTGTACAGGCATAACTTTGGCAGCTCTGGCAATTCCCAGACTCCCAAGCTTGGTCTCTAGTGCGAAGGCCACTTTCATAAAGCACTTCAAGTGTAGGTAATCTCTCTGCCATGCATTCACATTGCCCAGCAGCAAGACAGGAAAACCTGCTTGCACTTTAGTACCGGCCCAAAGCAAGAGGCAACACACACAGCAGTGCTCACAGCATAATCCAGGCAGCTGAAACGCACGGGGATTTGTGGTGGTTCTGCATCATTCCAACCAAATTCAGCAGTGAGTCAGTGCCATTGGTGTCCAGGAAAAACAGCACTGGGATCCAAGGGGAAAACAAGGGCCAGGAGGTGCCCAAGCAAGTGGCACAGGCAGTGCTCCAGGGCTGCTGAGACCACAGCCATATTCTTGGAGCATGACATGAAAAGGAGATGACACAGGAAAGTGTTTCAGGTGAAAACTCCTTTTAGTCCTGGTTTTCAAGAAAACTCAAGGCAATGCCTTTCTTATTGGGCCCTGCTGCCTTTTCAGCCCACAGGGTCTTTTAAAATGTTCCCAGCAAGGGGTGATTCACCATGCTCATGTCAATGAGCTAAGGCTTCCTCACAGCAAACCACCTAGAATGAGCCTCCAGGAGCTCCCAAATTACTCCAGAAAGTCAGGATTCTTGAGAAACAGCAAGGGAGAAGTGACTTGCCCAAAGTTACCAGTTCTGCCAGGGGCAGACTCTCCAGAGTGTGTTGACTCTCCAGAAGTTTTATTTTGACCTGTTCTTCTATTCCTGTGCACTACTGAAATATTCCAGCCAAAATAGAAGCAAGAGGCCAGAAATAGAGAGAAAGACAAAAAAAAACAAACAGAACATCTACAGTAGTTTCCAAGTTTCAGGCCATTCTGGGCTAGACTCTACCACCCCTGTGGCCAGGCCTATACTACGAAGTCTTGTGGTGCAAAAAGAGGCAGCATGAAATGAAATGCAGCTCCTAACCTCAGGAACACAACTAAAGACCAGTGTTTACCAGTCTGTTTTAGCTAAGAAACTCAAGCCTGCCAGGCTGCACAGACGTGGTGCAGCAAGGCGCACCCCTAACAGAGATGCGCTGTGCCTCTCACTGCTCTGAGAGCATCTGGGGGGAAAAAAAAATAAAACAAAACAACAACAACAAAAACCCACAAAGATCAGGAGGACAGAGCTCTCCAAACTGCTTGTGGGCCTGTTCCGTGTTACCAAGGGGCTGCGGAGCAAGATGCTAGGCCAGGCCTCGGCCTCAGGAGGCTCCGGGCAGGCCCCGCGCTCCAAGCGCGGCTACGCGGTGCCCTCTAGCGGGGCCTGGCGCACCGGGAGCGGGACCAGAGCCCGCCCGGAGGCGGCTGTCCCAGCCCAGCCCGCACACCAGGGTGACCCCTCTCCTCCCCCGAGGGCCCGTGGATGCTGCCAGCCCCCAGCGCCTTGTGGGGGTGCCGCATACGAGCTGTTCTCGCACAAGCAGGACAGCATCAACATAAAGCGCTCCGCACTAAGTGTCCACCTGGACGCATGAGGCTAATATGAAAAAGCGCACTGCTGCCCGCACTAGGAAATCCCTTTCCACCCCTCCTTCTCAGCCCACTGCTGTTGTGTTGAGAAAACCACCCCAGCTGCAGACAATTCCCATTTTCAGGGGGTTGGTGGGGCTCTCCAAGAGATCCCCAGATCCTCTGCTAGCCTCTGCATAAAGCCAATGGGAAAGACTCAGGAAGGCAACGCTTTCCCTCGCTCTGGCAAAGCAGCTGCGAGCAGAGGAATGTCTGCTCAGCTAGACCTATGCCCTGGCCCACCAGAAGCATGGAAACCATGGCTCCAAACCCTTTCAGCAGCAGCTCCACATTCACCAGCGATGGGAATCTCTCACCTGCCTCGCTGACCAGATTTGCTCCTGCAGATCCAGGGAGCTGGTGCCGAGCGACAGAGGGACCGTTCCCCTAAGGCGCCCGCACCACTCTGGTGCCTGCGGCCAGCGCTACCACGTAGAAATGGGAAGCAAGGGAGCTCCAGCAAGTCGCACCATGCGAGTCACAAGACACACTGTGCATTTCACAACTGGAAGCAATTTTGGTTCTTTAAAGCTTGTTTTTAGGCCTCCTGCTTCTCCCCCCACCCCATCACAGTAACAATTAGGACCAGAATTTTTGGTAAGTTTCCCTTTAATATTTCCAAGCTAAAGTATTTCCAAGGTGGTGCTTGAAGAAGACACATTAAGTAGGAAACTAACAATAAAAATAAGAGCTACTCTCGCTTACCTGCAGATGTTCCTGCTTATTCTCACCCTAGACCTGTTATCCCATTGTATTAACGTGCCATACTTTTTCTGTGTGAAGATATAAGAGCTCCAGCAACCTATATAAGCTATAAGGCTCTAACAAGAGGCTTTGACAAAGCATCTGGACCCAGCCATCTGAAGCAACTCACTTTTTTTAATTACAAGGCAGCAAAGGCCCAAGTGCTTCATTATCTCATGCGGTTTTCTCCCCCCCTCCCCCCCGAGATCTCTGTTGTGGGACACGATTCCACCTGCTAAAGCAGTAAGTCTGGGGGAAAACAGGCCAATGTCACCACACGAGATGGGCAACGAGGCTCCAAGCCAAGAGGCCGCCCAGCCTCGCCTGGCTTGGCGCACGGGTTTAAGGTTCACTGACTGCCGGCCCTGCCTCAACTTTGGCCCCGAGACAGGGCTGCCGGCAGCGCAGTGGGGAGGGTGCCTGCGCCTGCTCCAATTTCCCTTTCATTTGCCTGCCAGGAGGAAGTGCCACAGCCCAGGGAGCCGGCGCTGCCGGCCAGGACTGCTCCCGTCACTGCCGGTGGGAACCTCCGGAGGCTTCGGAAAGGTAAGCGTGGGGCTTGCCCAAGGAGAGAGGTGCTGGGATTTAGATCTTCCTGCTTGGAAGCAGCCTCAGGTACCAGTGCCGAAGGCTTAGGGCAGTGCTGGGCGAGGGACTCAGCAGGGCTTCCCACAGGTCCAGCTGGTACCGCACAGCCGGCTCCTGAGCAAGTGCTCGGCCATCCACCCAAGGGGAAAAATCCCAGATTATCCATTACCTATCACTGCCAAAGCGCTGACACCTCCATCCTCACGGCCAGCCTGAAGCACCGTCACAGAAATCTCCTCTGAGAAGTCCCTGCCAGGGCTGCCCCAGGTTATTGCAGCCTTATTGCAAAGCTCACTCTGCTTAGCTATTTCATGACCCAAATTCTCCCCTCCTCAGCACTGTGAGGAGCAGATTGTGCTGAGGAATCAGCACTACGCAAATCCAGTGGCATTTCCGCATTAAAGTGCCTTTCCCGTTAGGGTTTCTGTATCCCCTAGTAACCTTTGCTTAAGTGAGCCCTCAAAGCAGCCACTTGCATACGCTAGCACAGCCAAGAGCCTTCACAGGTGAGGAGCCTTGCAAAAATAGATGACTGCCTTTGAGCTTAATTCCAACAAATAAGGTAACTGGAGAGTTTGATGTGCAACTGCCATCTGGGAAGAAAAAAACATACAAAACCATCCAGTAAATCGAGAAGACCCTAAAAAATCCCATCCAAATCTGTCAGGGTTGGATACTGCCAACTTCAGAGACACTCACACAGGTAAGAGGGTTCTGCTTTTCTCAGTGAGCTACTGAGCTGTGCTGCTTATTTACTGCTGTAAATAACAAACTGCAATGTGTTAAATGGCTTTGGGATCTGAGCACTGCTAGTTTAGAAAGGCTTTGGGATCAGTATCCCAGGAAATCAAATGAGATTTTAAATACCACTTCTCAATGGCTTCATCACAACCAACCAGTATCTTTTTTTTTTATACGGGTGTCCTCTGGAAATAAAGGTCCTTTACCCCTTCTGGTAGTAAGCCTACAGAGGTCTCCCCCACATCCCTCACCAAGGTTAACAACAGTGCAGAGATTACTTTATTGAATAGTAAAAGACAAATCCTTGCTGTTGTGTTCCAGCCATCTCACGTGCGCTTTTTTTATTGCTGGTCATTATGCCTGTAAAACAGCAGTTTGGAAGATGCTCCCCAGATCAAGTCCCCTTTTCCCTACTAATTGCAAACACCTGAGCCACACCAATCAACAGCTTGGTCACGCTGCAGCCTGGAGGCAGTCAGGCCAGGGAGTTCAAGTGCAATAGCACCTATCACATGCTCCAGCATTAACATGAAAGCACTGCTTATCCAGCACAGATTACTTCCATGCTGCTTTGTTCCATAGGGGAAGGTGGTTAATATCTATTGGACCTGTCCTGCCCTGAAACACAATTTCATGGGTGCAGAGATGCTTTGTCCATTAATGGAAAGTGAAAATTTACCTTAATTGCAACTATTTTAGTAATAACCTCCTTCATGAGCACGAGGCCAGCCGAGCCTGTCCGCATCTAGAAGCAGTTAGTTGCAATCATCAAAATATTAAGCAGTGCCTAGAGGCTAAATCTGCCAACACAATTTTTGCAGGTGACTGAAGGGAAATGCCCATCTAGGTTGATATTCTCCAACTCCTCTCATTGAACCCAGGCAGGTCTCCCAAACTGGGCTTAGGGTAAAGGGAAGGGTAAGCACAGTCCAAGCGACCAACCCAGGTCTTCTAGGGTGAAATAAAGATAGCTTTCAGGTGCGTTTGTAGGATTACCCGCACAAAGACCAGACATGGTGCCTTTGAGTCCTTGGGAGCACAGTCCTCACTGTGACCGAGGCACCTGCACATGACAGGGGAGGATCCATCTGGGAAAAGGGAAGAAAATTAAAGGCCTGGAGCCTGGGGAGGAGCATGGAGGAGACAGGGGAATTAAAGGAGAAAAACAAGAAAACAAGGGGCTTTTGTTCAGTACAGGGAAGACTGACACCAAGTATGAACTTGCCACTCGGAGCACGAGCTTGCCACGAAGCAGGAGGGGTTAAGAAATATCCAATGAATAGTCACCAGTGGGGGAAGAAGTTGCCTTTGCCTCCCTGTGGGCACTATCGCCCTCTACCAGCAGCATCAGAAATAGGGACCTATGTCCTAACAGGTGCCTGTGTGCCCAGCAGGTAAGGCAGGAGCTGCGCAAAGCCAAGGGCTGAGGGTTGAGCAGGGCCCTTCCACACTACTGCGCTGTTCCTGCCCATCTTCCCCCAGGTCCCATCATCTTGCCACATCACCTTCCATCCCATGTTGCAACATGAACATAGCTCCAGTGGAGTGACACTGAGTCACATTCCCCAGCAAGGCCATCACATGGGCCTCAGGCTTCACAGTCTCATCAGGTTTTCTTAATCCACAGTACAGGAGAACAAAAAGTCTTTTGGGGTGCATTCTGTTGTCCTTAAGGCTTTTGGAGTCAAGTTGAGGGTTTTTCTTGAGTTCTTGGAAGAGTATAATTTCCCTCTCCTCATCCAATTTTTGTTCAACTCCCTTAAGTGCATCACATCAGAGCTCTTTCCAAGCCTGATGCACTGCAGACCATGCTGCCTCCAGGACTGGGACTTTGGGGAAGGATGAGTGTTCAAGAGCAAATCACATCCATAGGTTCTCTACCATTAACTCTCTCCAGCCTCTTTCCTTAAATCAGAGGCACCCAATGGAAAGTCATCTACATGAAAAGTCTCATCACTCAAAGTCTCCTCCGATCAAATTTCTATCCAAATATCTCCCCCCTCTGGTAGTAACTAGCAGTTACTATACTGGCAGACTCAAGTATTAAATTTCATTCAAGATATTGACAGTTTTGTCTCTCCTGTTTGAATAAAACCCACTTGCTCCCCTACCAAAACTTGGTAGGGACTTGACATGGGAGGCATAGCAGGGGCACTGGGATCATGGCAGGTCTATTTTGAACAGAGCTTGTTCCTTTGCAGGGCATGGAGCAGAGAGCAACACCGAAAGCAGTGGCTGGCACCCCCTCCGAAGGAACTCATCCCCACCGC